TGGCTATCCCGTCAGGCCTGGGGCTAAATGATTGTAACCCGCCCGAATGGTATGAATGTTGTGTTTTAATCATGTACTGTCTTAATGTAAAAGTCTGTCCCCCCCCCCTTCCTGTTGATTGTGAGCCGCCCTGAGTCCCCCCAGGGAAAAGGGCGGCATACAAATAAATAAACTATAAACTATAAATGAATCATCAAATGCATTTTCCAGAATGCATTGAGACAGCTAACTATGAATGCCCATAGTGTCCCCAATGTTGTAGTTGTCTTTTATATATGGGGGCATGCATGTGATCTCTCATAATGATTTATCCTGTTAGAAACTGGGAAGGAATCATTTTCTAATTTTTCCTGGGAAAAGATTGTAGTGGTAATAACACAGCTGCTTTCTTCTATCCTAAGGTTTGTCTAGGTGGCTCCCCTGACCCCAAATTTGCAATTGGAAGTAAGAACAGCTATGCTGGAAAATTGGCCAGAATGTTTAGTAGTAGGAAATAATGTGTGCTCACAGAATTCAACTTTCAAAGACACTGTCTCTATTGAAGCATTAAGTGTTTCATAGTATAGTATAGTAGAGTTTCATTTGTTAATGTTAATTGACATTAGAAGATTGAAATGTTAGTAAATATTTTTGCTAAATAATGTATTTATTATAAAATGTACAGGCTGAGTGTTCCATTTGGTAATATCCAGTTAACAGTAGTATGAGCAAAATCTATACTATAATAAAATGTAATTATCACAGAGCAACAACAATAAAATAAGTTATTTATTCAAATCTCCATATCATATTTTTTCAGTTATGCATAAACTAGAATTGTAAAGGCCAGCAAGATATAGTGATTAAAGTAAATTTAGGATTGAAGAAATATTATTTTATGAGAGAATAAATAAAAATGCAAATAAATAAACCTATTTAATTCATCACATATTCCTTAGGCAAATTCCTTAGGATATTTCTATTCTTGGTATCCCATTAGAATTGTATCTGTGGTATAGTGTATTTACAATAGCCTACATCAAATTTTCTTTTCGGAATACATTTATGGTTATTAGCATGTCTCTCTTCTAGGCTGTGATTTGGGGATTAAACTAGAAGTTTGGTAGAAGACCTCAAGCAGAACCTCAAACTCTTTTCAAACTTATTTACGAAAGGCATTTGAAAAGCAGTTGAAAGGAACTGAGAGTATTTCATATTTCTTTTCAATAGGTTTTTTTTTATAAGCCAAGAACAAAGGTTTTAAAGACCATTCATGGGGAGAACATCTAATATTTCTGTCTCTATTGCTATCTACCTGTTAACCCCATTTTTATATAATATATAGATGACCTAGCATAGTTTTTTTTCTTCCCATTTCAAAATATATTTTATGAAAATAGATTTACGTGAAAACACTCTGGAGTACACTGGGGGGGGGNACTTAGTGATAGTCATAGGTTGCTAATAAACAATCAAATTATACTAGGAAACAAATAAAACAATATAAATTTTAAAGATACAAGCAACATGGTTATAGTCTTAAGTGGGAAGATATAGGTACTAGGAAGGAAGAGAAGAATAATAGTAATACAGTTTTAGTTAATAATTTGACAGTGTAATAATTTGACAAGGTACCATTTTGATGGGAAGGTAGCATTCCAGATGCCTTGGCGTATAGTCGTTCTGGCCACATGAATTACTGAAATGTACTGGACAACCTTGGCTCCCTTGGCTAAGAAATGGAGATGAGTGCTGTCCCCTAGAGTCAGACACAACTGGACTGAGGAAACCTTTACTTTTATTTAAATCAATTTCTAGACGATATATAAGGATAATAGTAATATAATATTAATACAATAAAAGAAAAAAATATTTAATTATATAAAAGATAAATTTATTAGTTTATCACACTCATCTATTTTGGTACTCCACAAACTGTTCATTTTCCAAGGATCCTCTAGAAATGCCAAGACTGCCAATCTATTTTGGGCAGTCATGAGAAAAAGAGTCACTTTTATCACAGCAGCAAGCAGGCCTTCAGTTGTGCTACCTCCTCTCATCCCTAAGTAGAGGAGGCATTCTCTGCTCACCTGGGTTGATGGCCAAAAGGCAGTCTTGCAGGTCCCCAGGCCCAAACTATTTAGATCTTTATAGGTGATAACCAGCACCTTGAATTGCAATTGGAGACAAAGCAGTAGTCAATGCAACTACTTTGCAGTGATGTATATTGAAATTTTCAGTAAGCATATGGACTACTGCATTTTATACCAGTTGAAGATCCACATAGTCTTCAAGGGCAGCCTCATGTAAACTGAATTATAGCAATTTATATGAGAGAAATAAATGAATATGTGATCATCCTCAAGGGATCACATTCCTATCCACAACTGGCACATTAACTGGATAATGGATCTCCTCGCCACAGCGCCTTTACTTCCAAGAGAATATCTATGTCCAGGCAGCCCCATACCTTGTCTTTTCAGAAGACAACTATTATTAAAAGTCAGATTTTATACTGTCCCAGAGTTAACAGTCTTCTAAATTAATAGCACTCCCCTCCTGTGGCTTGGATTATTTCTCCCCATGTAGACCTGACAGTCTCCATGAACCAGGCCAGGATTTACACCATATCTCTTCCAAGGTGGAACTACATTGAAAATATTTCACCCCAAATTGTTGCGTGACTTTCCACGTTAGCTGAAGTAATATAAACATCGCAATGTATGCAGTTGGATGACCAGTGCTATAAAAAAGGAATGTTACTTTTTTAGTGTATTATTTGTTCATTAAAATGAGATGCTTGAATCAATGTAATTGATTTAGCTAAGCATACACAGAGAGAGATTAATGGGGAAAAAAACTTTAATCTGCACACTTTCCTCTTTCTTTCCATTATTCCCAATTATTATATTCAAAGTTTGTACTTTTCTTTTAAGGTCTTTTGCTTGACGATTACTAATTATTGCTTACATCTGTTTAAATAGTTGCATCTTTATCTTTGTTCAGCCTCTTGTTGCTCCTTTTTTAGAAATGTCTTCTAAATTTGCCTTGCTTTGCAATATGCAAATGCAAGGGAGCCATTACTGCTTAGTTAAACTTCTGTTATACTGCTGCATATTCTCCACTTTTAGATTCCCATTCTGATGTTGTCGACAAGGTTTCACTTTTCCAATGTTGTGCCAAATTGGTTCTTGCCGATATCAGCATGTATCTCAATGAATTATGGTACTTCTTGTTTATACTCTCTGGAATTATTCCTAATAAAAATCTCTGTGGTTGCAATTCAAATTCATTTTAATTTTTTTAAAAAAATGCATTTCCTTCCAATGGTTTTGGGTTTCTTTACAAAAACACCATATAAAACAGCATTTCTAGCATTTGTTATTTTATGACTTGTCCAGCCTGGTAATCACTGAAAGAATTATATACTGTCTATAAAACATCTTGTACCAATTTTCTATCACATTGTAGCTTAGGGTGAATTTTCTGATTCCCACCCATAGCTATTCCTATTGTTCCATTAGAATTCTTTCTTTGAAATGTTGCAGGAATTTTATCATGTAGTTTTTAATTTGTTCTGCTTCCTTATCATATTTCAATAACAAGTTATAGATGCACCCCAATAAATAATCCTGGTTTTGTTTAAGTGTTTCAAATTCTTTCTCTAGGATAGCCTTTCTTAAGATCACACTTAGTTTTTTCCAGTAATTTGCAAGTGCTTAACTATGTTAAGTTCCTTTCGTCATTGGGCAGATCTTATTTATTTATCCATCCTGTTTTCTGGATCTAAATGTACATATGTGATTAAATACTTCTTGCAATACAATACTTTATCCTTAAAGTAAAAAGCATTTGACAGGGATGTGAATGATGACATTGTTGATCTTAATCTAATTTCACTGGATTCAAAAATTTTAACAGTGTTTGTTTTATACTATTTTTTTCTTTCCATTCAGTCAGGTTCAATTTTTGGAGACTGCTTGGTAAAGTCCCTGCAGTTTTCTTGGTGAGGGTTTTTTATAAGTGGTTGCCCATATCTCTTTCTTAAGGCTGAGAAAAAATGACTACTCCAAGGT